CCAACCAATTGAGCTACCTTTTAAGAATGCTTTGGTATGCTTATTTTTTGAGTGCTCTGTTTTGCATGAAACTCTTATTCTCTAACTTAGATTATGGGTTTCCAATCAAGACATCAAGGTAATGGAGTATACATTTAATCATTGGGTGAATCATTGTTTAATTAGCGAATAGCAGTCTTACTATTTAGTTCATTATTAATCTGTTGGATCAAGCAAATATACACATTCACAGCAAAAAAAAAAGGAAGCAAAGATGCACACCACCTACATTCAAATACAAAAGAGAAGAGGAGTTGTTAAATTCATAGGAGACGAATGACTGTGGTTTATTGAATATTTTTGACAGTGTTCTTGCCCAATTTTGTAGCATCCCAAAATACCATTGCACTCACTAGATTGAACTGATTTAGATTTTATATTTTCTTGAGCACATGGATAGCAATTTGTCCAATAAAATATCTTTTTCATTCATGTATATTTAGTATTTTAAAATTTATATTCATTTACAATTTTTCCCCCTTTCTCATGGAAGATAGTTTGGTGGTTCTTGATCCTTAATTTATAGCCTTTTACATGGCACTGTTGTAGCAAAAGTAGAAGTTGTTATTTTGGGTTGAAATGCATTCAGTCTTTTTTGTTTTAACACTTGGGTTTTGATTTGATGATTTTGTTCTTTGTAATGCTAGGTTTGATTTATTTATGTTGGTTGGAGGTGCGGCTAGGCGGTGTTGGTGATTTTGAAAGAGGTGTCTGACAGATTATTAAAAATTGGTACTGGAATTAATGAATAATGTGCACATTTTTAGTACTTGAATTGGTTTAGCTTTTTTGTACTCTAATTAACCCTTTTGAAGCATGAACTCATATAGATCATCAGTTTGGACAATACTTTGTAATTAGATTTTGCTTGGGCTGTTTAACTATAGTTACAACCCTTATTGGTAGTTATTTATCTTTCATGGATTAATCTATTAGATGAAATGGGACATGAATCTTAACCCAATTACATATCTATGGCAGCGAGGTGACACATTGGCGACCTCCTCCCGTCAATTGCTTAATACCCAATTATCCTCTCGCTTCAAAAACCTAAAGGTATGGCCTTCTCTATTGCTTATTCTGTTTTAGTAGTTTTTATTTTGTAAAAATATTTTTTTATTTGTTTGATTTGGTTTTGGAAGAAAATGAGATATGTGATTGAGAACGAGGGGTCTGAAATGTAGCAGTTTGAGATGATTGTGAAAAACAATAATAGGCGATGAACAGTGAGATTTTGTATGCTTTGTCTATTTGCTATTTTTTTAGCCTACCCTAATTCCCCATCTCGGCTCCTTATTGTTTTTTCTTTTCATTTAATGAATGCATGATTTTCTTTTCCATCATCTAGGTGTCTACTAGGAAATTGAACCAGTTAAGAACAAGGATCCTTTGGCTTACACAAGCTCTTATTGCACACCAATATAATGGGTTTGCACCACTATTGGTAGTTAAGAATAATTTTGTTAGTCTTATGTATTTATTTATGAGTATGCACATGTAAATCCTCTGTTTATTATTGTGCAGGGTAGTCGTGGGATCCACATAATGTAGTTTGTGCACAACATCCGACCCTAAAGTCTGGTGCACAATGTTACTTGATAGGGACATAATTTTTGCTTTCAAAGAGTTGTACATGGTGACTTACATTTGAATGTATTATACTGTTATTGTTACTAGGTGAATGGGTGCTTATGGGTGTGCTAAATTTTCTAATTTTACAAGTTAAAATATTTACACATTCAATTAAATTTTTCTATGTAATTTTTGTTTGTGGAATAGGTGAACGGTTCAAATATATTTGTTATCCACAATAATATGTTTCATATATTATTTTTGTAGCAGTAATTTGTATGCCTTTTAACTTTGACTTTTTTTTGGGTTACGTAGTACCTTTAGACACGGGCAATTACTAGTATATATATATGAGAGATATAGTCCTAACTTATATATGGATAGAGATAGATATGAGAGATAAAAAATTTTAATGTTAGTCAAACTTTTAAAATTTAAGAGTTTTTAATTTTAGTTTTACTTTACTTCTAAGGGACTGGATAGTCTGATAAGATTGACAAAAAATGTCTTCTAACAAATAAATTTTTTAGCAAGCTAAAATTTAAATAAGTCCATATAAGGGGATCAACCTCCAAATTTTTAAATTTTTTAACTCAAGTTCAACTCTAATTTTTTAAACTTTAACGTAATTACTATTTTTTTCGGATTGAATTCGGATGGGCATTGGCCCAAGTTATTATTAGGAATCTCCGCATTTGTTTTTTTGGGTCCGAAAGGAATCTCCCCAGTTAAGAACCATAAAACTTGNTACATATCTATGGCAGCGAGGTGACACATTGGCGACCTCCTCCCGTCAATTGCTTAATACCCAATTATCCTCTCGCTTCAAAAACCTAAAGGTATGGCCTTCTCTATTGCTTATTCTGTTTTAGTAGTTTTTATTTTGTAAAAATATTTTTTTATTTGTTTGATTTGGTTTTGGAAGAAAATGAGATATGTGATTGAGAACGAGGGGTCTGAAATGTAGCAGTTTGAGATGATTGTGAAAAACAATAATAGGCGATGAACAGTGAGATTTTGTATGCTTTGTCTATTTGCTATTTTTTTAGCCTACCCTAATTCCCCATCTCGGCTCCTTATTGTTTTTTCTTTTCATTTAATGAATGCATGATTTTCTTTTCCATCATCTAGGTGTCTACTAGGAAATTGAACCAGTTAAGAACAAGGATCCTTTGGCTTACACAAGCTCTTATTGCACACCAATATAATGGGTTTGCACCACTATTGGTAGTTAAGAATAATTTTGTTAGTCTTATGTATTTATTTATGAGTATGCACATGTAAATCCTCTGTTTATTATTGTGCAGGGTAGTCGTGGGATCCACATAATGTAGTTTGTGCACAACATCCGACCCTAAAGTCTGGTGCACAATGTTACTTGATAGGGACATAATTTTTGCTTTCAAAGAGTTGTACATGGTGACTTACATTTGAATGTATTATACTGTTATTGTTACTAGGTGAATGGGTGCTTATGGGTGTGCTAAATTTTCTAATTTTACAAGTTAAAATATTTACACATTCAATTAAATTTTTCTATGTAATTTTTGTTTGTGGAATAGGTGAACGGTTCAAATATATTTGTTATCCACAATAATATGTTTCATATATTATTTTTGTAGCAGTAATTTGTATGCCTTTTAACTTTGACTTTTTTTTGGGTTACGTAGTACCTTTAGACACGGGCAATTACTAGTATATATATATGAGAGATATAGTCCTAACTTATATATGGATAGAGATAGATATGAGAGATAAAAAATTTTAATGTTAGTCAAACTTTTAAAATTTAAGAGTTTTTAATTTTAGTTTTACTTTACTTCTAAGGGACTAGATAATCTGATAAGATTGACAAAAAATGACTTCTAACAAATAAATTTTTTTAGCAAGCTAAAATTTAAATAAGTCCATATAAGGGGATTAACCTCCAAATTTTTTAATTTTTTAACTCAAGTTCAATCCAAAATTTTTAAACTTTAACGTAATTACTATTTTTTTTAGATTGAATTCGGATGGGCATTGGCCCAAGTTATTATTAGGAATCTCCACATTTGTATTTTTGGGTCCGAAAGGAATCTCCCCAGTTAAGAACCATAAAACTTGGAGGTTATCATGGTATGTCAATTGAAATTGCCATAAACCTTGAAAATGTAGGTGAAATTACCATATCAAAAAAGTATAATATTATTTTTTATTAAAAAATAATGTGTAAAACATTTTTTATTTCTCTATTTTTTATAATCAATTATTAAAGTTTATTCAATTCAGAATTTACATTGACAAATTATTTTCAATGTACAAACAACACGAAAAATTTCATATTTCGACACGAAGATATTATTTGGAGAAATCTCATAAATAACTCTAACTATGTACCCTCTCAACTTTTATTTTAAATTATTCTTTAATTAAAAATCCCAATTTATCCTTAGAATGATGTAAATTATTTCAATCGACTCGTTCCATTAAGATTAATTATTAAATGAGACAAATTAACAATTAATTTGAATAAAGTATGTCTTATTTAATGATTCATCTTAACAAAATCAGTCTCATTTATTAATTAATTTTAATAGAAGAGATTGATTGAAACAACNCGTTGACAAATTATTTTCAATGTACAAACAACACGAAAAATTTCATATTTCGACACGAAGATATTATTTGGAGAAATCTCATAAATAACTCTAACTATGTACCCTCTCAACTTTTATTTTAAATTATTCTTTAATTAAAAATCCCAATTTATCCTTAGAATAATGTAATTTATTTCAATCGACTCGTTCCATTAAGATTAATTATTAAATGAGACAAATTAACAATTAATTTGAATAAAGTCTGTCTTATTTAATGATTCATCTTAACAAAATCAGTCTCATTTTTTAATTAATTTTAATAGAAGAGATTGATTGAAACAACTTACATAGTTGAGAGATTAAATTAGGATAATTGAAAGTTCAGGGGATAATTTGAAATAAAACTTAGTTCAGGAGACATTTATGACATTTTAACATATTATTCTAATCATCTAGAATTTGTGCCGGCCCATAGACTGATTACCTGGATCAAACTCGACGACGATAAGAACCCCCAGAAAAGTCAACTGAAGACCCACGCGTACACCACAACAATGCGAACGCCAGCCTCACGATTGCCACAAACCCACATGCCATCTAGACGACACATCACCACACCATAAAAATAAACGGTTTAACTTACATATGTACACAATAAACAATATACACGGCACCACCCGATTAAACCCTTCCCATAGTTTTACGCTGGTCCATGTCGGTTTCAACTTTCAACGACCCTCCTCTATTTTTCAGAGTTTTGTTTACGTTGGGCAGTCCTAGAATAAATCAAACTATATTATCCTCGCATATAATTAAGAATTTTATAGGGTTTGGTTTTCTTCCAATTCAATTTGGGAGATTTCTCCAACCCTAATTTTCTTTCTACAGCCCACCTTGTCAATTTTACATCTTAGTTATGAAGATGGAGTTTGGGGTATCGGATGAATTGTTGGGGACGTTTGCGCCGATTGTTGTGTATTGGGTTTACTCTGGGATTTATATTCCGTTCGGATCGTTGGAGAATTATCGGTTGCATTCTAAGAAGGAAGAGGACGAGAAGAATTTGGTGCCGAAGAGGGATGTCGTCAAAGGTGTTCTTATCCAACAGGCTGTTCAAGCTGTCGTTGCCATTCTTCTCTTCACTGTACGTTGCATAAACATATTATTATTTCGCAGATACATGTAATTGTTTGCTTTTTCTTTTGTATGAATTTGAATTTAAACTGCTCGATTGAGTGTGAGCGAGAATTCATCACGTAATGTGGGGTAGTTAAGGAAAATTATGGGGCTTTTCCATATTTCTTTGCATGTGATCACGTAGTTATTTGCTTAAATGTAATAAACTACGCCTTTTGACCTCATAAGATGATGCATTTTTCTTGAAGGGTGCCGTTTCGATGATATATTCTTTGATTTCCTTCTTTGGAATGCCTTGTATAAGATGTTGACAGAGCAATTTTGATTTTAGAGTATATTTGAACATGCCCCTTGGTGCTTCATGATTCATGCTTCGGAGTTTGGTTGCAATTAATTCTTCTCTGGCTCCTTAACATTGATGTCAACCTTCTTTGCAAAAGAAATTATTGCCAAAAGTGAGCTAGAGGTCAAGCCGAAAGATCTTAAACACAATTTGTTAGGGTTCTATTCAGTCAATTTGTTTTTGTCCTGTTAAGTACCATCAACTTTGTGTTATTTTACATGTTACGAATCAAACCCAAGTCTGTTACTCATTAGGGGGGATTGAACTCCACAAATTATTAGGAATAAGAGATTACGGTCCACACGTTAAAGCACTTAACCTCGTGTTAAAAGAAAAGGAGCTAACTGAGAATCCTCTTTTCCAAGACCCAGAAAAGCACCTAGATGTTTCGTTTCAAGTAGTCCGAGCACAATCAGTGGGACATACGTAATACAATAAAAGTTGAGGGTTAGTTGGGTAGACATCTGACATTGTATGATCATGTTAAGAAACCATTTTTGATATATGTTAGGATAAAACCAGAAGCAATGCTATGTGGTAGTTAATGATTTTTAAAATAACCTATGGGTCGTGGGTTTCAACAAAAGAGAGACAAGCTCAAGATTGATGTAGTCAAGTGGGAACACATATGATGGAAGGCTAGCCATTGGAAGTTTACAAGTGTTTTTGTTTGGTAATAGGATTTGTGGCAATTTCTCTCTCTCCCTCTCTCTAGATTCTCTTTTTAGGTTTGCTCGGGGAATCAATGCTTTCCTCACATTTGCTAAAGGAACTCAAACAGGTATATCCAAGAACATTTTCCATGGAAATTGAATTAAAAAGAAAATGGTTTATGTGATTGTATTTGTGTATTGCTATATAGTTTGGATTGAGATTTCAGTAGTTTTGTTTCTGAACCGAAATTGATGGGAAATTGGGAATATACTATAGGATTAAAGGCTTTGACATTTGATGCATGTTAGATGTGATTTTTGACATTAGTAGAACTGTAGAAAAAGGGTGACAGTAGATGCATTGGAATTGAAAGTGAAAATGCAAATGGAGGCAAAATAACAAGGAGTTCGGTGTGAACTGTTGATTTGATAAAATCATAAAATTATTTTTGCTTTGTCTGGGATTTGGGACTTTTAATATATGGAAGAAAGTTTATCTTTAATTGGGTGTTGAAGGTCTTTGTCCAAATCCATGCTAAAATGGATCATGGTTAAATTATACCTTCTTAGAAATCTTTTTTGTCTGCTTTAGGAAGGATTTGTAGGGGCAATGCTGCTGAAAAGCATATTACATTTGAAAATGTTTTGTCTAATGTTGTTTTTGGGAAGAAATGAATTAGATTGCTTTTCAGTTGTTTCCTTCTAGTGGGTTCTCCAGCTCTACCAGGTCTTAGTTTGTCTCTGGTGGTTGTATGGATGACTTCTATGGAAATGAGAAAGTAGACATAATATGAATTGATGGGTAGCTAGAAAGATAATTCACAGGTTTGGAATGGGACTCGTAGTACCGTGCTTCGTATACAAGCTTTAAGGACACAGTGCACCTGAATGGTTGGCTGATGCACTTCTTTGTTACTTGTGTTGTAAAATGTTTGGTGTATGATCTGGTGCAGCCATGTAGACTGACTCATTACTCATGTACGAACTATGGTTGGAAGGCTTGGTCTGCTGATATCCAATGAATTTCTTTTGTTTTATAGGTCACTGGTAATGATGGTGAAGCTGCCACAGGTCAACAACTTTCCGTTATTGTTCTCCTTAGGCAATTATGTATTGCAATGGTGGTTTTGGATACATGGCAATATTTTATGCACCGATACATGCACCACAACAAGTTCTTGTACCGGCATATACATTCACGACATCATAAGCTTGTTGTCCCGTATGCATTTGGAGCTTTGTACAACCACCCACTAGAGGGGCTGCTTCTTGACACAGTTGGAGGGGCTTTGTCTTTCCTTCTCTCAGGCATGTCTCCTCGAGCTTCCATCTTCTTCTTCTCCTTTGCTACCCTCAAAACAGTCGATGACCACTGTGGGCTATGGCTGCCTGGGAACCTGTTCCATGTATTCTTCAGAAATAATTCTGCCTACCATGACATTCATCATCAGCTTTATGGCAGCAAATACAACTTTTCACAGCCATTCTTTGTTATGTGGGACAGAATTCTTGGTACTTATATGCCTTATTCACTTGAGAAGAGAGCAGGGGGGGGCTTTGAAGCGCGGCCTACTAAAGAGTACAAGGACAATTGATGAAATTGATACCTGTTCTTTGCCACAAAATATGTACCACTATAGATTTTGTTCTTTTTCCTTTCTCTTTTTGTCAAATGCTTGATTACTTATGCATTTTGTATATATCTATACACTCATACACATAGTTGTATCACTGGTTTTTTTGGCCCCTGCAAAAGCGTTTTGAGATTGGGATTTGGGAGTAAGAGCCATATAGAAGGTGAACTCGTGGCAGTTGTTTGTGTGGCCCTTTAATTATATCATACTGTCTGTGTTTCCTTTCTGTTGATTTTAAAGCATATCTAGTTAAGCATTTATTTTACTGTGGAGGCCAGGAAAGCTCTAGTGCTCGAACGGTAACATTCTGCATGAGGCTCTGTCAGGATGAACAAGGATCATGACCTGAGTGATCTGTTTGTTGTTTAAGATTCTGGTCCTGTCATGCCAGCTATGACTTGCCCTTCTCACTTTTGAAGGTATGTGTAGCTTTCTGCCTTAAATATATGAGGCTCCATAGATCATTAAATTGAAAATGTTGATGAATATGACGATTTTTTATAAAATAAATTATTCCATTTCTCATCCATTGGCCCACTTAAATTTATTTTTTATGTAGTTATATTTTTTTTGAATTTACCTTGAAAATCTTTTGAGTGTTTTTTCATGCCTTACATTCTTTCTCCTTTGCCTTCCTGACTGCAATGTGCACAGTTACCGCTTCAAAACCCATTATAAGTGAGTTTTGTGCACTGCTTACGGCTGTCACACTTATGCATCCATGAATGACCATTTAGGGCTAATTGCACGGTCTTAAATGGAGTACAATGATGAAACATGATCTATATAATTGATCTTAAAAATGTTGGGATAAGACTTTATTAAGTTAATTTAAGTTGTTTCATGGAGGCGGCTGGTCAGAATCTCTATCAAGGACCATTTTGGATAACTATGCTTTTCTTCTTTTTTCAACAGTAACCAACATTCCTTCTTTGTAGTTGTTTGGCTAATGAAGATGTTTGGCCAAGAAAGTGACAGGCTTATATATTCCCTGGACCATTTCTTCATCAATATATGCTTTTTTCTCGTCAGTTGTAGTTGTTTGAAAGCCCGTCTATGCTCTGCATAAAAGCGATTGCTCCATGAACTGTGTGGTCCAATTCCAGAGATAAGATACTTATCTACGGCTCCCATTACAAATATATATATACCCAACTCCAATTATTAGAATTGACAGTTTTTTATACTTTTTGCCTGAACTAATAATAAATAGCTTAATCCAGCAGTCTCTTTCACTTTTGGAATTTCTTCAAGGGTAACTTACACTTACAACCCTTGAACTATCATCTTTTTTTTTTACTTTGTCCACCCCAACTATTAAATTTCTCGCATTGCACCCTCAATTATGTCATTAGTTCGATATTGTTCCCCTTATTAACGTCCGTTATATATTTAAAATTTTGTAATTTTTTTCACTTTACTCTAACACATCAGCGATTTCCGCCCAAAAAAATAACAGACGTTTGCAATTGGGGCAATGTGTGAAAAAGGGTGATAGTTTAGGGGGTGCAAGTGTAATTTACCTTTTCTTCAACAACTAATTTCAGCTTCTTCTTCTTTTTTGGAATTTGTTGCCTGCATTTATGGTTTTTCTACCTCTGATTTTAGGTATTATTTCTGGTCCCCGTTACTCACATGGAGTCCTCCACTGTTATTCTCTAATGGTTTCCATTGATCAATCTTTTTTTTTGTTTTTCTGAAAGTGAAGCAACATAACTAGCCTCAGGGGCGGAGCTACGCTTAACTGCCCCCACTCAATTTTTTTGTTCAAACATGTTTTTTTATATAAATTTTAGTATATTCTAAATTTGCCCCCACAAAAATTCATATACATTTTAATTTACTTAATAATTTCAGACATTAAGATTAAATTTCTTTACTTTATTAATGATTATTTAGTTAAATCTCTCGACATGTGTTTAAGAAATTTTGGAACTTTTCGTTCTCTCCCCTATATGACGTCCCCTTACTCTTATTTTTGTAAATTTTGACATATTGAATAATAATATTATTATGTAATATTTTTATAATATAAAAATTAGTCAATAAGATGATAAAGATAAGGTATACATTGCTCCTTTATGATTTGAACGTCAAGAATTCAAGCTGCAAAAAAAAAACTCACGCACATACAGGAAAAGAATATATATATCTTACTCCAGACCTTACAATAGCAAAAGTCATACATTGGGTCACCTCGTTTAATTTATTATTACTTCAAAGTTTTAAATTTTATTTTTGTTAAAAAAAATGTTACTAACATAACAACCTAATTTGATAATATAACGCATTGTTATTGTTGAATTAGCAAAAGGTATCAACATTAAATATATTTTATTTGTTAATTCAATGGTAATAATGCATTAGTTTTTCCAATTTAATACGTATAGTATTGTTGTTGCTAAAATTTTTGCCCCCACTACCCCAAATTTCTGGCTCCGCCTGACTAGCCTTCATGTTCAATCGCCTATAAGAATATACTTGATGCTCTATGCTCGAGTTCTTGATAGCTCCCTCAGTAAAAAGTGATAGAATGCAGCGTAGAATATTTTTTCTTCTACCTTGTTAATCGATGTTCATGTCGTGACGATTAACGTTCCGAGGGTCGGGTCAGGTCGGGTCTTGACAGACGTGTGCCTGGCAGGGGCAAGACCCGGCTGTATGTGAGTGAGATGTGGGAGAGTTTGTGTGACACTAAGTGTGAGTGTGGAATGTGTTTTTTTTTTTTTTTTGGGTACGTCGGAAAAATATATATGAATAAGACATTAAACAGAGTTCTTAAAAAAGGCAACATTGGTCATATCTGCTAACAAAAAATTAGCCAATTGAGGAGGGGGCTCCTCCAGCTCTACAAAAGTTTCAGGCTGTTGGACCCCAAAATTAGTCAAAAGATCAGCACACTGATTTCCTTCTCTAAAGGTATGGACAATGGATATGTGGTTAATCTTCATGAGCCTTCTACATTGCAAAATGACAAGTTTGTTGGGATGGGATGTGTTTAGCAAGTCGAGGAAAATACAAAGTTGTTCGGGTTAGGTGAAATTAGGTCAATCGGACGGTCGTACAAGGGGTTAGGGATTCGAATTGAGTGAATTTACCCGGGAGCAAAGGAGTGTTGGAATTTAAGAAATATTTATCTTAAAGTAATGAATTAAAAATATATTTAAAATTTAAAAAGAAATTGAAATTCACGAAAATGCCCCCCACCAACCACCTCACATGGAGGAAGCAGGAGAGGTGGTGCTTGGCGTTGAATCTGGCCATGCAAACTCATGATTGCTGGCCTAGGTGTCCTCTTAGATGGATTTAAGCCTTCTAGAGTGATGAGATCAAGCAGAAACGAAGGAGAAAGAGAAAGTTCAAGTCCAAGGGAAAAAAAAGGGGTTTTGGATCTAGGCTAATCCAAACAAACGACATAAGACTCTATTTTTCATAAGGAATCTATTGGTGTTGTTGATTTTAAGTTTCATGTAGTGTTTAAGCTCAAATTTGTGTTGTAAGTATGAAGTGGATTGGAATTTTAAGATTGATTGATTTCATAACAAATAGTCTAAGTTTGTGCAATTGGGTCTTGTTTACAGTTGTTGGGCATAGTAGAGTGTGTGTAGAGTTAACGAACGCTGGATTCATATATTCACGGCTACCCACAAGAAATGAAGACATAAATGCCCTTATGTCATCCAGTAATTTATTAATCCCAAAATCAATAATTCTTGGGTGATAATTATCTTCTAAATAAAATATTAGCGGATTTTAAATTTGTATCAACAATAGATGTCCTAGCGAATATAAAAGAGACCAAATGTTATTGAATTCTTAATGCAATTGTTTTGTCAAGAGTGCACTATTAACTTCTCAATGCACCACCAAGTAGGGTGGTCTAATGAGATACCGATCTTACTCCTCACCTTGAGGTTGAGAGTTCGAGTCTTGGAATTCTCATTGGAGTTTGGTGGTTGGCCGTTATGATTGCCTAACTAGGTCTGGTCCCAAGAGGTGTTCCAGGCACGATCAGAGACCTCATGATCCCACCGGTGAGGGTCTATCGAGGTGGTCACTGGACACTCTTTTTTGCCAACACCCCTTTTTTTATTTATCAAAATAAAAAACTTCTCAATGCAACCCACTTGATATTAACAAATGAAAATTGAGAAATATTACTCTATTTCGAAACTCTTTAGAAGATTTTGCCCAACCACCGCCGCCAACAACCCACAAGGGGTCAAAGTTATTGAAAATTTGAGAAATATTATCCTATTTCGAAATCGTCAACTTTGCCCGACCCATAATTGTCAACAACCCGCAAGGGTCAAAGTTATTGGTTGCATTTGAAATCTCGTCAAATATGGTAATGCCTAAGAAATAACAAAATTAAGAATCACATATGAGACGACACAAGATGTTTCGTTAGAGTCGAAAATTGTCACCCACCCCCAAATAGAGGTTATGAAAAGTCGGTACAATTGTTGCCCTTGCTATAGAGACATTGATCAATATTTTAGGAAAATAATAAAAAATATAATTATTAAATATTTTAAACAAGAGTTGTAGTATAATTTAATTCCAACATTTTAGTGGTTTTGAAATCGAAGAACATCACAAAATAAATTTGGTGTCATTGTATAGTCAGAATCTTACATTATTGAATTTTTAAAGAGAGAGCAAAAAGAGTTAAAAATAAAGAATAAGAGCGAGAACAAGAGAACGAGAGTGGGAGAGAGAAAAAGACTTGAAAGGAGGCAGTGAGAATGGAGGAAATTTGAGTGAAAGGAATTTGAAAGAGATTGTTACTTTTAAAGTTAGAAGTCGTTATTTTTAGGAGACTTTGTTATATTTTAGAATTTTTTATAATACTTTACTTACACATGTAAGAATATTGTTACATTTTATAACTTTCTATAAGGTTTTATATAGACTTATAAAATACATTATGCCTTTAATTTGGTCTATTCAAAAAGGTTCGGATCATGAAGCTGAACTAATGGCTGAAAACTAAATTGAGGCCCTAAATTTTTGGGATTTTAGACAACTATTTTAATGGTCGAACCCTAGGGCTAACCTTACTATGTCTCCCCTATTCATATGATCGAAGTGTATGCGCGTGTAACAACGATCATAGTCTCTGTATGTCCTTAACTATCAAGTCTTAATCCATGAAATCGATTAAATAAAACAAAATTGATCACCAGATGACACATAAACATTAAATGTAATATATGTGTTAATCCATGTTTTATACATTTTATTTTAATTGGTCAAAAATCTTGTGTGTACTGTTACAAGGTGGTGTCCTGGTAAATATGTTCAATGTCACATGGTGTCGTAGAATTTTTTTAAAAAATTTGGGCATCTATTATACATTAAACATTACATATACGTTATTTCGAATTCTTATTATCTGCGTGCAATTGCTCAATAGCACAATTGATATGAATTGTAAATATACATAGATCATTATGCCTAAGTACTTAGCAAACTGATATGCATATATGTTTGTCTCACTAATCTCTTGCTTGACTCGCACTTCTCAAAATCTCTTAAGTAGTCTATAAGGGATGACTTGATACACTTTAAGGGTCTTATATAACAACAACTCTAAATGAGGTTTTTTATTTTAATAGTTTTACACTTAGATTTTATATACGCATCCTTTCAATTGACCACATGACTAATCCACCTAATCTTTTTCATTTTATGAGATCTATTATTAATAATTTACCTAAATTTAACCTACTTTTTTTCTTATGTTATTTTTATTATTACATGACTTGGATGAATAGTTATTTAATTATGTGAGATCCATTTGTTCAATTATTATTTTATCATTAAATAATTAAAGCATTTCAACATAATAACATGGCATAACTGTTAACCCTAGTTTTTTTTTTTTTGGCTATTAAAAGGTACTTGTTTACTTTGCCGACATTCCAAAATTTGAACCTCTGCTGGTGGTCCTCACTGGAAACGTAGACAACACAGCTGATCAACTTTGTAAGAATCCCAGGAAAGCAATGAACTAGATTGTTACAGGAACAGTAATTCATTGAACATGTACACTTTTTTTATTGATCACATGCACTGTCATGTAATGTTTAGTGAGCACCCAATACTTTTTCGTTACGAGAGGTTCAACTATGGTACAGAAATACCGAAAAGTAACTATGATTGTCACGTTTTGGTCCTAAAAAAACTTGAGAACCAATAGCTCAAATTTGTAAATTCACATGCCTTGACAACAAAAGACAATAGTACTTCGAGGGATACTTAAAGTGATAATAGAGACGAGGTATAAACCCTTTGCGGCAAGGACATGAAGAATTTATCCCTCATGAATATCTTAGTCTCAATGTAGATAGTCTGTTTTTAATCGGACTGATAAGGTAATTAGTTGAGATACGTATAAGTTGATTCGAACACTGTTGAAAACAATATTAAAAAAAAATTGCGGCAAGATAAAAGCAACCCTCGCCTGGAAAAACTAACATATGCCCCTACACACCAAGCTGTTGGAAATTTTTAAAAAGGAAAAGAGACATCTAAGGGCTCGTTTGGTAATGTTTACAGTTTTTGATTTTCTAAAAAACGAAAAACATAATCAAAAAAACGAAAAACGTTTTTTTCTCATTTTTGAAAATTGCCTATCGTTTACAAAATGATAACAGAAAAAAAAAAATAACCGATTTTCAAACGAGTTTTTTTTTCTTGTTTTCTCTAAATATCAAAATAAAAACGAAAAACATAAATGTTACCGAACGGACCTAAAGTACTCAAATCCATTTATTTCACAAATACAATCTGGGGCTTGGATATTGAAAGAAATCTAAAAGTTACTCTGCATAAAGACCTACATTTTTGGTACCATACTTAAAAGTTACAACTCAATTGGATGATATTACGACTCAAACAGTCAAGTTACGACTCAATAGGTATTGATATTTTCTTATACCAACTGAGTTGTAGTTAACCTTTTTGAATTTTACCTTCGACCCCAATTCAGGTTAACTCTTTTTACCCTTTTCCAATTCGGCTCAACTCTGCATAACAAACTCCAATGGAAATCCTCAATCTTTATTGCTGAATGTACAAGAACCTGGAAGCACCACCAGAGATTGAGGGTGCATTGAAACCATGTTGTCCATGTCTGGAACCAGGTCCTGTCACCTTACTCTCAGCTTGAAACCTTGACAATGGCGTCGAGGGATCGAACTTATGTGCCTTCTCACTTATTCTATATGCCTCTCCTGCAACTCTCACAGATTTGTGACTCTTGCAGCTCACAAGAATCCCGGGACGACGCTTCTGCACTTCATTCCCTGCTGAATTCTTCACATTGACAACCTTTCTGTTCGGAATTGTTACTGATGATGATGTTCTTAAGTCCTCTGAGTCTGAATTTATTGAATAATCTACTGCGCTGGCCGTGGCAACGCTCCACTCTATGCTTGCTTCACTTGGGGCATAACAAGTTGTAGGTGTGACACAATTGGACATGCCATCTGATGCCTGTCTTGCAAGGAATGAGTTTGTGTTGGTTGAGAAGCTCTCGATTTCGAATAAGTCTGAGCTTGCATCACTCTCGGAATCATTGTAAATTCTATTAGAGTTGTGTGAGATTTCCAAGTCCTCCACTCTTGGAGTTAGTGCATCCCAAGTCACCATTGTTAGCCTCCTCTCAAGGCTCAAAGACTTCTTCCCCCGTTCCAAGACGGGGGAACCAAACACGTCTAGTGAATTTCGCCCTGTATGATCTTCTACTTTCTTAAACTCTGCAACATGATGATCCTTCGTATTTCCCAGAACTGGGAAACTAAAACGATCTTCTAGGTTCAACCCGTTTTCCACCTCTGGCTGGGAATTATTCATTCGGATTAATTCACCACTTTTACAAGGTGGTTTTTGTTTTGTTATCGCCTTGCCATGAGCTTCACCACTTTTAACACTTCTGCTGGGGCTTTTTTCACCATTATGCTCATCAATGTTAACTGAGTTTTTGTCACTGCAAACACAATTGCAACCAAGACTGGCGAGGAAACTCCAGCCTGGCGTCGTCTTCTTTGCCGTACTGGGCTGCTGATTTCTAGGATTACTATGCAGTAATGCGTTTTGGCTATTCCAACTTGATTCAGAATGAACACTTGGAGTTCCTGGCTGAGTTTTTGAGCTCGCAGGACCAACAACATCAACAACCGGCTCATCTCTCTCATGCTTGATTCTCATGGCACCTTTGTTGATACTTCTTGGGTTCTTCTCATTCAGTAGTGTCTCATTGAAGTATTTCTCAGCACCAAAGACATCGATTTCTCCATCTGCAACTTTCTTTCTTCCAATGTAATGGTGCTCTTGTGGAGAGGGGATGGAGGAATTTGGGTTTTGACTTGACTCTGCAAGTTTGAGTACAAATGTTTCTTTGGAGCCATTCAAGTAAGAAGAAAAGGAGGCATCACGAAGATTGTTGCCATTTTCGAAGGACAAGGTCTGAGAGATGTTGGTGTTGGAGGATGAAGTCAATGTAATCATAGCCATGGAGATTTTATATTTGGAGGAAATTGAGAATAGTATACAAGAAAAAAAGGGAAAGAGAAAAGGACCCAACAGAAGATCTAGGGTATAGAGGGCTAGAAGAACACAGGAAGAAGCACTAAACTACAAAATGAAAACGAAAAAGACCCTGCAATAGAAAATATAGAACCAGACTAGTTTGCTAATGAGAGGTTTGCGTAGCTTTGATTCAGGGAAGGTTGAGATCAGCTAGAGAGAGAGGAAATGGATAGGACATATAGGGAGAGGCTTCATGGCCTAATGAGATTCATTTCTATATGTAAACTTGAGCAGTATTCAAGATGGTAAGAAGGTAGGCCCATAGACTTAAATTTCTTCTTCATTAGTTCTTATCAAACATTATGGTGAAACATATATATGATGTAGACAAACAAGGACAGACCGTTACGTAACAGTAAGACAATTTCATTCTGACTTAAGTGTCACAAGTTCAAAGTATAGAAACAATTTCTTTGGGTAAGATTTCATAAACCCTCCCCAATTCTTTTGATGCCTTTTATCTTTGAATTTGACAAAGTCTAACAAGGTATATTCTTAAAGTAATGCTATACAACTTAAATTTGGGATCCCAAATTAATAAGGACTATTGAATCAGTGGGTTCCATCTAAAAAAGTTGATAGAACTCACTCATCTAATAATCTCCATTTATTTGAAATGTCATTTGGGATCCAAATTTGGATTGCATAATATTTTTCATACTCTTCTTTCCCCCCTTTTCTGTTATTTTGGACATTACATTATTGATCCACAGCAGTCTTGATGATTAGACAGTGATTTACTGGTGCACATGGGTTTTGCAGAGATCTACCCAATATGTCATGCAGAGCATTCCATGCCACAAATTGATGTTGGAAAGATTGAAACCTCCTGATTCAGATGGCCCAAGCCATGACACCATTCTATCAGCACCACTTTCGGCAACACCTCTGAAACCAATATATATATATGGCCAAAAACAGATCAAGCATTTTAACAGTTGCAATATCCCTTCTGTGTTGTTCATTATCTTTTCAAAAGCTTGGTCCCATACCTTTTCAATATCTCGATTTAGAGCGATGACAACTTCTTCTCCGTCCAATTGTTATGTCACGGGTTTGAATCCGAAAAATTAATTCCTCAAAAATAAGAAAAAGTTGTTTATCACTTATTTTCCTCATCCCCCCTCCCGGCGCGATATATACAGGTTTGTGCTCTGACTATGACTTCTTTTTTTTTTTTTGTGATTGATGATTTAATGATTGTATATTATGTTAATACATACAAATATAGATCACCATGGGACAGCTGTTTCTTGTCAGCATTGAATTCTAAAACTGCTAAATATCTTACATTTATTATAATACCCCTACAGAAAGTCATGAAACAAATCATCCACAAATCATTTCCATTGCAAGTTGGTACCTGGTAGGAGGTGTTTTTAATAGAATAGGACTTGTTTTTTTTCATTAATTTCCAAGAATTGAAAAAAGCTGAGGTTAGGAATCTGTCACAAAAAAGCATTTGTACCCCTGTAGGGTTCTCTGTCCCACCTGCACTTGACCTCTATCAATCTCTCTGCAACACCAAGCTACCCCTTTTTGTTGCCTTCTGTGCTTGGTTCAGAGGAATATTGGCCACAAAAGATTCACCCAATTACAATTTCAGACCACCTTGACAATGATAAATGGTAACCCAAGGGAAAATTCATACCAAAAATTACAATTTTTTAAAATTAAAGTTATAATTTTTTGAGGTGTAAGTTACTGTTTATAAATGGTACAATCGATCATGAACTTCTCCGTTATCGATCATAAACTTCTCTTAAACAGTTGTAACTTCTCATTTCACATGTATAACTTTATCATAAATAGTTGTAACTTTTAAAATTATACTAAAAAATAAAATTTGGTACAACTTTTCCGTAAGCAAATAATGGAGAAACTCACAAAACACACCACTCTGTCGGATAGACTTATGTGCAGTAGTACTAAGGGACAATACAATTTTACATTGAGTTGGCTAGTTTGGTGGATGAGCACTATCATGTACGGCTGGATGGTGATGTTTTTAAAATTTTGAGAAAATTATGATAAGACCCCTCGAGATTTGTCAAAATTTATTCTCTATTTTATTTGGTTTCAAAAATTACATATAATTTCTTCACATTTAAGGTCAACTTAGACTCGATCAATTGGTTATTGTATTACCAACTGAGTCTTTACTTAATCATCATTCGGGCCGATAAATTAAATCAGATAATTATATGAGTGAAAGAAAACGACTTTACAGCTTTAGAAATCAAAATTAGGAAAAAGAAAAATTATGATAAGGCCTCCCGAGATTCTGTGAAAATTTACTCTCTATATTATGTGGTTTCATAAATTACATTTAATTTCTTGAGGTCTAAGTTTAATTTACACTCAATCAATTGGTTATTATATTACCCACTGGGTTTTTATATAATGGCCGATAAACTAAATCAGATAGTTATATAAGTGGAAGANTCTTTTTTTTTTTTTGTGATTGATGATTTAATGATTGTATATTATGTTAATACATACAAATATAGATCACCATGGGACAGCTGTTTCTTGTCAGCATTGAATTCTAAAACTGCTAAATATCTTACATTTATTATAATACCCCTACAGAAAGTCATGAAACAAATCATCCACAAATCATTTCCATTGCAAGTTGGTACCTGGTAGGAGGTGTTTTTAATAGAATAGGACTTGTTTTTTTTCATTAATTTCCAAGAATTGAAAAAAGCTGAGGTTAGGAATCTGTCACAAAAAAGCATTTGTACCCCTGTAGGGTTCTCTGTCCCACCTGCACTTGACCTCTATCAATCTCTCTGCAACACCAAGCTACCCCTTTTTGTTGCCTTCTGTGCTTGGTTCAGAGGAATATTGGCCACAAAAGATTCACCCAATTACAATTTCAGACCACCTTGACAATGATAAATGGTAACCCAAGGGAAAATTCATACCAAAAATTACAATTTTTTAAAATTAAAGTTATAATTTTTTGAGGTGTAAGTTACTGTTTATAAATGGTACAATCGATCATGAACTTCTCCGTTATCGATCATAAACTTCTCTTAAACAGTTGTAACTTCTCATTTCACATGTATAACTTTATCATAAATAGTTGTAACTTTTAAAATTATACTAAAAAATAAAATTTGGTACAACTTTTCCGTAAGCAAATAATGGAGAAACTCACAAAACACACCACTCTGTCGGATAGACTTATGTGCAGTAGTACTAAGGGACAATACAATTTTACATTGAGTTGGCTAGTTTGGTGGATGAGCACTATCATGTACGGCTGGATGGTGATGTTTTTAAAATTTTGAGAAAATTATGATAAGACCCCTCGAGATTTGTCAAAATTTATTCTCTATTTTATTTGGTTTCAAAAATTACATATAATTTCTTCACATTTAAGGTCAACTTAGACTCGATCAATTGGTTATTGTATTACCAACTGAGTCTTTACTTAATCATCATTCGGGCCGATAAATTAAATCAGATAATTATATGAGTGAAAGAAAACGACTTTACAGCTTTAGAAATCAAAATTAGGAAAAAGAAAAATTATGATAAGGCCTCCCGAGATTCTGTGAAAATTTACTCTCTATATTATGTGGTTTCATAAATTACATTTAATTTCTTGAGGTCTAAGTTTAATTTACACTCAATCAATTGGTTATTATATTACCCACTGGGTTTTTATATAATGGCCGATAAACTAAATCAGATAGTTATATAAGTGGAAGAAAATGAGATTGTGACTTTGCAAATCAAAATTAGGAAAAAGAAAATAAGTAAAATGAACCTCCCTTCTTCTTCTCTCTCTCTACCCAGCCATCCCCCCACCCCCACAAGACCTACATACAAATTATACAATCATCATCACCGTCGCAATAACTACAGACAACCATGGAGTTTTGAGAGAGAGGGGAAGAAGGGGGGGGGGGGTGAGGATGGCTAAAGTGACTGTAGACACAATGGAGGGGGTGAAGCAACGGGTCATATTTGTGATAAAATTATTAGTCTTAACATTAACGGATTTGAGCGATAATATCAGCTATAGTTTGTCTCAAAGCCACCCTTCTTTTGAACTGTACTTCTGTTCGAATGGCTAGTGTTATATGTTGCTATAACAAACAGGTCAAAATGGGTGTAATGGTGACAGAGTGAATGATTGTCTGTGTGAAACTAAACAATTGAGATTTGCATCCGTCTAATAATTGAGCCGTGTATGAATTGAGTCATTTTTTAAAATAACTTGATAAGACCCGACGTTACTGATACCGAAAAAATATACAAAAGACATAAAATCTCATAAGACAACAAGTAATACAGAAACTATCAGAGGGGATAGAAAAAGACTTTCACCAACCATAGAGCAATAAGTCAACCCTCCTAGAAGGTCATGTCATACCAAATATTCTCGGAATAATCCCGAAATACTTCTTAAATATTCCCTTAATATTCTGTTATAAAAGACAATGACCGCTATGTAAAAAATGGTTTCTAGCAAGAGAAAAAACCCTATTATATTGAATTATTTACCAAATTACAGTTGTTTTAAAAAATATATACCAAAATACAGTACTTTTGAACTTATTTATTAAATTACAGCAATTTTTTAAAGTGGATTCAATAATTCTGTTTTTATTAAAAAGTGAATTTAACGATCCTGTTTTTATTAAAAAACGGATTTAACAATCTCGTTTTCTTATTAAAAAAAAAAGTGGGTAGTGAAAAATGCATGTTTAGTAACCACGTTTTTTACACTTTTTCACTATAGTGGAGCAACGAGCAACAAATTTTGGTGAACTTACAGTCCTTGTTTCGGGGAAACTCAAGGAGCAAGAGCAATCAAATTGGATCAATGGACCAATCTAGTGTCTTCATGCAATACAGAATCACGTTTGCTCAACTCTCTCTCTCAAATTTCTTCTTCTTCTTCAGCTCTCTGCAACATATCTTGCATAATCAATAGCTTCAGAATCTTCTTACCCTTGTCATGGTAATTACTCCATGGTGTTTGGCATCGAGATTCCTAGAAAATTCAGAATCACCCTCTGTGTTAGCATCTGAGTTATAACGAAACCCAGTTGCTCACGACTCTTCTTAAATGGTGGAAAACAAAACAACCACATATTTAGTTTTACAGGCTATAATCAACTGCTCTCTGCTTCCTTTTGCTCATAAGTATGATTGGGTTCTCATGATCTCTGAGTTATCATTCATGGCTCATCTATGCCAATTTTTTTTCTTCTATTCGGTGAAATGGTTCATGGGTTTGGCAAGAATAAATCTGATTTATACACAATGACTCAAGAAGTATCAAAAGTTCGCAATCTCGATTGAAAATAGTTCAGGTTCACACACAAAAAAAGAGTTATTGACTCTGCTTTTTTTGAACGATAACCTGCCCACGACATAGTGTTTTGTGTGAGAAGTGTGTTTATGAAACATGCTTTTTACCATTTTTTGAAAACCGTGTTTGGTAAACACGCTTTTCCCACAGTCCAATTTTTTTTCTTAAAGCAATTTTATTAAATCCGCTTTTAAAAACTGCCGTAATTTGATAAATAAGTTTAAAAGCAATATATTTTGAATTATATGTTTTACAAAAGCTATATTTTGGTAAATAATTCCTATTATACTCTTCTTGTAATAAACAATATACGACCAAACAAAAAGAACCCCCATTAGATTAGATTAACTAAATTTTCATCCGGTGAAACACTTAATTTTTTTGTGGATTCTCCCTCATTTCCTCAAACACACGAGCATGAGTTGGATATTCCATCCACATCCTCATGCTTCTCGATTTTTTATCCCATCACGATTGCCAAACCCACTGATTTTTTTATTCTTTTGGACAGGGCAGACCTACCTGATAGATGGAAAAAAAAATTGCTGAGCTTTTTTTAAGCAATTAGAATTTCGACCCCCCAAATGCTTGTTTGTTTGCGCCGCGTGAAGAGAGAGAGAGAATAGCATGGTATAATACAGTTGACAGGTCAACAAGACTAACAAAATAAGAATGAACCAATAAGTAGCATAAATCTTACAAGCTTCATCATTTATAATAACTGAAAAAACATGGGCTGATCAACTGCTAGTTAGACATATACCTGATTCCCCTCCCCAAGTTAAGTTCTCATCCAGCAAAAATGCCCGTGGTTTAAGTGAATTGAACATGCATGGATTTGGTTGACAGCAGAAGCATAGCCTGCTTCGAGTCACGCCAAGATTGATTCGCAAGCCTGGCCCTTTCTGTTTGGGGAATTCACTGTGAGGATGTGGAATTGTTTTCATCCACAACCCAATATTGTTTGACAGCAACCAGTATTTTCTCAGGCACAAGGGGACCGTCCTCGTGATCCACCAATTTAGTATCCCATCTCATCCCTCCTACTATCTTCTTCACCTTAATAAGCACGTCGACTTCATCACGGAATATAACTGCACCTTCCGGCCGCAGAATTCGATCCATCTCCAAGAGAATGTCTTCAAAATCACACCTGCATCAATTTGATTAGAATAAGCATAATGTCACATATCTATTGATTTGATCATCACATAAATCAGTGAAAGGGCAGGGGGCACAAGGTTTGGCATATTATATAATCATAAGAGAAACAAAAATTCCAGAATAATTTGGTTTGGGTCCAATAATAGCATCAGTACAAGTCATGGACATAGAAGTTGAGTCCCTTCTTTCGTATGGACAGTCTTTATCATAAGACCAACCAGCCACCCTCAACAACTTCTCTCCTTCCCATGCTATGAAATATCACTAGACTGGTGGAAGTATCATTAAAGTCCCGGTATTAACTATCACTAGACTGGTGGTAGTGTCTTCCATCTATCAATGCAATCTTCTACACGGCTTCAACTGAATACATATTGATGTTCTGTGAGCAATTAACTAAGCATGTAAACATGCTGCAGTCACTAAAATGCACTGGTTCAAGGGAAGGCACTAAAAGTTTGAAAAAAAATGTATTTTTGACACACTGATGTCCAGGTCCCTACACAAGCTAACAATTGGCCTGCTCTACACAAACCAAAGCTTGAACAGGCAACTCTGGTGCAGCTGTCAACAGTAAACTACATGATGGAGCCAAACTCAATCAAACTTGGCCCTATCACACTCCAAACCCTTTATTGCCACATCAGGATTCGCTGCAGGGTTAACGCACGGCTTGAAATCGACCCTATTATACTGTACAAACTAACAGATGCATCGAAGAAGTACCACTCCTTAAAAAGTTAAAAGGCAGTTTCAAACATAAATATCAAACATATTATCATTTTAGAAACTTCCAAGTTCAGTGGCTCGGTATTGTATCATTTGTTCATGAGATCTGTTGCTGAGAACAGCATTTTCCAATCAAATTGGATACTTATTCGTGTGTACATACTTGATGTGTGGCCCAAAATCTGAATATAATAAAAGTTGAGGTCTGGCAACGACCCGGAAGGATAGAACCGATACAAGAAACACTTGCAAACCATTAGTTATAAAAATGTTAATGCAGAAGCAAATACAAAATTACTTACATGTCCTTGTACAAACTGAAAACACCATAGGCATGGATAAGGTCATATGTCCTTGGGTATGTGGAGAAGGCTTCACACCTGAACCAGAAAGCAAGAACAAGTGAAAGTTGCTTAACAGTTTCAAGCAGTCAAGAAGGAATCAAATGAAATGAATAAGCATCACCATATGGAAATGAAATAATCAGTTGGTAAAATATCTGTGCATGCTGAATCTTTTCATCAAAGGTAACAGACAAATGTAGTCCTTGCCAGCTGATTCACATCACTTGTAAGCATGTATATTAACCATCATTCCTTTGTTACAGTTAATTCTCGAATTACTTTTTGGAGATAACATTCTTTTGATTTTTTACTTGGATTCTGATATATTAACCACTTGCTCACTGCAAATAAAATAGTTGAGCATAATGTTCAACTTCATTTAATCAACAAATCCAGTAATTCACCACTTGAGAATTTCTCACACTCAAATCTATAACACACACTTGTTAAAACTTCTAACACAAGATCTTCATAAACAATAATTGTCACCGTCTAGCATTTCAATTATCTTATCTCATGATATCTTATAATACCTTTTTATAAACTATGATGGCAAAAGTAAACTATTGATCCAAATGGATCTGACATTCTAAATTGAGGTCATATGTAAGATGAAAACAATTTACGTTGGGTCCATTATATTTGGTAGCAATATACGAAAAAAAAAGATGAAGGCCCTACACAAGGTTGTTAATAACAATAATTGTCATGATCCAGCATTTCAATCATCTTATTTGGTGATACCCCATAACAACTTTATATAAAATACGATGGAAAAAGCAAACTAATGATCCAAATGGACCCAAATTCTAAACCAAGATCAAGTAATACGATGGAAATAATTAGTTACAAGGTTCCTCACATTTACTAGCAATGTACCAAAAACACCAGCTTTAACAGAGGTCAAGGTTATCAAACCATAATTTTCCCAAAATAACAGCATAACATTCGATGACGATACAATATATAGGAAGACATAGAATTAAGGACATTTTCAAGAAAACTATAGGATATATTCTGAAGTGATGATTAAGCGCCACAATTTCAAAACATATGGGACAAAAACTCCAAAAATCATACCAGTCATGATAGATGCCAATCAGTCCTCGCTCGTATACAACACCCAGAGTATTTTTGTCAGCAATAGTGGGCATAACATTCATGACCCACAATTTAGGAGACTGGATGGCTGCAGCAAAACCCCCTAACCCAGCATTCATATCCATAATGTTGCGATACCTTCCTGAGTCGATAATTTTATTGATTTTCTTATACGCACTGACATGTTTTTTCCATTTTCTGTTGTCCTCCAGGTATGTTTCAGTAGAGACTCCTGAAACAGATCCACTAGCAATTCTGGGAGGAACAGCATAAAGCCTCTCCGGAAAGGCCTTCAGATCGCCACCAGAAACTTCATCATTGTTCCCCGTGGAATATGGAGTTATGCACAACTCCATTTTCTTGTACCTAGTAACCACCCAACCCACAAAAGGCAAAACACATTAAGTATGCAACTTCTTTCTCTGGACTGACTAGGTATCTCTTGTAAACAAAGATGAAGACAAAAGGTATGACTGACTAGGTATCTGTTGTAAACAAAGATGAAGACAAAAGGTAAGAAAAACAGAAATGCAAACAGATAAAACAGATCAAGTTTTAATGATTTGGAAGGTACAGAATAGGCCCAGACAACACGTAACTTGTTACAAATCAGTTAGATTGAACAACCTATGTGCATCCCCAAGACAAGTCTACCAGTTAGACTTGGGACCACGGCTCACAGATCATAAGTCATTCACAGATCAAATATATTTGCTCAAAACATTAACAAAGTGCAGGTATTGTTCAGCAAATAACCTCAAAAACTTAAATAGATCCACAAATATGGGTGTTATATTCTGAAGGGCAATCCAAATCATTGAACTTACTCAACATCCTCATAAAATACGGTGTAAATTCTCCTAGAAAAAATTAAAGGATGGGACGAAATATCAGAAAAGGTAGGTCCTACCAAGGAATTTGCCCATGGTGATAAAGTGCAATTTTTTTCTATATTTATTTGTGACCTAAATTGCTTTCCAACGTGGTAATGTGTTGGAATGGAGCACATTTGCAAAATTGCAGCTTTTCTTACTACCATCCTAACTTATCACATGTCAGTTTCCAAATTGGGTAGAATTTAAGGAAAGCACCAAAAGAATATGTTAAATCGAGCTTATAGCAATTCCTTTCTAACCATAAAAGATGAGCAATAATTGCCACTTTCTAAAACAACTACATATTGAAAAAAAATAAAAGAAACTGTACTAAACTGTTAATAAACATAGTATGAAGAAAGATAGGAAGTTCTTCAATATGAAATTGTCAGCACCTCAAGGAAAGAAATAAGCAAGATTTGTGGCTGCTACCTTCCTCCACTTAAATGCATTTATACAAAACGTCTATTCTTTACTTTCAAGGCCCTCTAGAAAGAAAACCAGAGTAACGATTGTGAATGAAATGGAATATTCAACAAGTAAAGCATACACCATATGCAAAAAGCATCAGGTGACCACCTGAGCTACCACACTAATTTGCCAGAGTATTTCAAAAGACTCATTTGGATGTCAACATTATTTTCTTGAGATTCCTCATTTAATTATCAAACAAATAAAATTAGCCATCATCAAACATTAGCAACCTCAAATATTATTGTGGGTGTTCTGCCATAGATTCATTTGGTATGTATACATATCAGAATTGCCACACACAACATGATAAGTTCACATAGAATATCAAGTTAAGCACTGTACCAGACATCATCTGCATCTGCAACTTTGCAGAATGTTGCTTGAGAATCATCTCGTACGCCACGACATGAATCAGCATGTTTACTCTTCTGCCATATGGCAATTTCACCCTTCTCAGAAATCTTCTTCCAGCAAAGAAGTTTAGCAATTTCTTCAATCTTCCTTTGTTCTTCTTGAAGTTCCTCCTTGGGACGCTGCCATGCTTTGTAGTTGTTCTTCCAATGGATTGGAGGACCAGAAAGCACCCAGTAACCACCAGGACGGAGAACTCGATCAACTTCCTTCATGTATATTCCATCTGGTAGGATAAACAATCCACAAAAACAATCACCCAAACAGCCACACAACCCAAAGAAATTCGAAAAAGTGGACCATGTTTACAACACATTAGTTTATATTACTCACCATTTGCTCCCCATGGAATCAAGCAACGGGAACAGTGAGCCATGTCAAACGCTTTGGACGGATATGGCATTTTTATTGTTCCAAGAACACCAATAACAGCTGGCACACCCCTCTCAAGAGCAAATTGAACCTGTGCTTCGTGTGAGTCCCTTGGTGCAAATGACATAGCTATAACATTTCTCTTCCAAAGGTAGGCACCCCAACTAGCAACCTAAGCACAATAATGCACTGTTAGTGAATCAAAACTGTAGATAGCACAAAGATAAGAAAACAACAAATTATTCGTAGCACATGGATAGGAAAACATCAGTACCATCTCTCAAATGAAAAAACAAATGAGGCAGAGAAGACTCAAAAAGTTAAGATATTTGAGCAACGCAACATACCCCACAACCAGTGTCAAGAGCAGTTCTTACGGTCCCATTTTTAATTGGTATCACGGAAGCAAGCTGATCGATATATGCATCGGCCCCTTGAGGAAACTGTGTTCCTCCACCAGGGAACCTAAATACATTGCCCTCATATTGAATCCAGTTCTGAATTGCCTTCTCAACTGTCAAACTCTTATATGGTGCATTGGCAAAGGGAACATAATCACGGCTCTTTGGCCATGGAAATGGGGTTACATATCCTTTGGGTGCCGGAATAAGGCAATGCAACTTCTCTTCCTGAGGAACGCAATGCCTTTCTCGGTAGATCATATTTTCCCTTGGGAAAGTCATTGCACGCCTTTGATCTTGACAAGGCGTGTAATCAGTATACCGATGGTGGCATGGCTTAAACACTTTTTTCGATTCAGATTCATCAACAGCTTCACCACTATGATGGGTCTCAAAATTTAGATTGGGAAGGATATTACATTCTGCACCGTTCCTGGTCATCTCCAAAGCTATGCTGTCTCCCTTCCCAAACCCACTTCTCTGCCATGCTCCCAATAGATAGAAGAAACAGCACAGACCGGCGACTATAAAAATGGATACAGAACTTCTAGTCCTACTGTCCCCAGAGTTTATTTTATTTGCCATCATGCATCTGCAATGTTTCCACAAGAAAGAGTTAGAGTACAGAACAGGAAAGCTAATGTGAGGTGTACATTTGATTATTGGTTTTGTGTGTGTATGTGCACACGCATTAGCATTAATGTGCAAAATGAACTAGAACCCAGATCGTACCCACGTGACAAACTAGGAAACCACGTAATAAACTCTAATCACTCCTACCAATAAGGTCCACTAATGCCATACATTATGGCTGATTTACACAAAAGTATGACTGAAAATTAATGGAACTAAGATCGATTTGTAGGCAAATAAAACTCATTTGATCATCTATTGTATACAAAGTGCCAAAACAGTGAAAATCTAAACAAAACCCAAATTGAAGAAGCACAAAACCAGCACAAATTATTCTCCACTCAACAATATACCCAAATCAACAGATTCTTCAGTTGATTTTACCAAGATCCTTTTACATACATACATCTCCCATGCATCAATTTATGAAGTTCGATATCTTTACATTAAAAGCAAGTTATATGCATAAAATCTATATATGGTCTCCTCAACAACCAAACCATCGGTACTACAAACTAAACAAGAGACTCAAAACCCAGTTCACCAGAAAAGAATTTGACTTCAAACAGAAATTAGCCGATAACACTAAAAAGAAATACCCTTTGAACGCATATGAATACAGAAAAACGCCAGCCTTTTGGAATTAAAAACAAATAAACACTTAAGATGACAGTCCAAATGTGAGGATCACAAATCAGAAGCCCAGGTTAAAATCTCTTACCAATGGCAGCGAGGGAAGGGAGCCTAGTTGACGATCTTGAAAACTCTGGTTCAGCTTCTTCACAGTCAATGGCTGAAAATGCTGAAAAATAGCCAGTTATATAGGATGGAGTTCCCAATAGATCACTCAAAATCCTAGCTTTATCTCTAATTTCTTTTTGATTTATACAACTATTTAATTTATGTATGTGTATCCAATACTAATATTGTAGCAAAGTGCTTATATAGATCTAAACTAACAGATCTCTATCTCTCACACACACACAGCACACGAGTATGGCTGCAAAATCTTTATAGAGGCCTAAACTAGCATACCTCTCTCTCTCTCTATCTCGCATAAACACACGCACCGACCCGCACGCTTTCTCGTACTGTTAATGTCGGTTTCTTGGCTTAGTAGTAATCATCGGGGCAAATTATACTTTGACCCCTGAAACTATAGACTAAATTTTATTTTGTCCAATGAACTGCTGAATTATTTTTATATTGTTTTAATTGTAAATGTCTGTTATTTTTTTAAGATGAAATTTTTCAACGTGTTGAGACAAAATAAAATAAAATTATGTAGTTCGGAGATAAAATAAAGAAAAAATTCTGTTAAATATATAGCAGACGTTAATAATTTGAGTGATGTGAAACTAAACATATAGTTGAATATATAATAGAAAAAATATGATAGTTGAGTAGATAATATAAAGTTTAGGGGATTAAAGTGTAACGTTTTTACTATAATGGGAGGGGTGCGTTGTGCATGCAGTCCAATGGGCGCGTTTTCCGCGACCCAGCCAAACGCCAGACAGACGGCCCAGATCCAGTGGGGCCCACGCGCAAATAAACGGTGGAAAGCATTTAGATTTGGGGTGCTCATGTTGTTTTATTTTAAAGCAGGGCAATCTGATGGAACGCAAATAAATGCAAATAATTTTGATGGTCCTTGAATAAATTTATTTGATATCGTTAAATAAATTTATTAAAAATTATTTTATTTTATATTATAAAATTATATTAAGTATTTATCAATCTTAAACACATTTTATTTAAATTTTTTTTGGTTAGAAAACACATTTTATTTAATTAATTATATCAAATTTAGTTAAACTTCTGTAAAATAGTAACAAATGCGATTTTTTTTTATAAAATTATATTTTGTTGCTCAAAAACCGTTGCTAATAATATATTATTATTAGTAACTTGAGGCTCTAAGTTTAAATCTCTAGTTTTGACACATAGGTGTATTTAGTCTTTAGGAAATTACATGCATTTAAAATTTGTATCGTACCCTCCATCTAAAAAAAATATTATAGAATACTTTTTCATTATTGAGAAAAAAAAAATACAAAGGAACACAATATCCATTCATTCATTTGAAATAGTACTATCCTCTTCAATAGTGGATCCTTCGCTCATTAATAATGGATATATACTCAAAAAATATGAGTAATATTATACTGATCAAAATTTGGAATAAAATTAAAAGTCCAAATGACATGGCAACTGATTTAGGTTTCTTTATTTGATGTCATGTCATTTGAAGCAGCTGATTTGGATTTCTTTATTTGGTGTCATGTCATTTGATCTCTAAATTTGATCAGCATAACATTACTAAAATATATATATATATATATCAAAGAGAATCTAAATCCTCTGCAAATCAAAGGGTCGTACACTTAGGACATGGGTTTGAGGAGAATTAATTAATGGAGGTGGTGTTTGGTACTCAAGGGGTGGGGGTCCATTGTTAATTAATGTCAAAGCCAAGGATTAGGTTGTTGTACTAAAATTTCAAAAAACATTATCGGCTTGTCGGTGATTTTCCAATTTTTGTGTTGAAGAGAAGGGCTTAGGGGACCATTGGATACTTTCGATTTCAATCACTTTTTGTTATAGTTTTTCTTAGGGTAGGTAAAGAGGACCATTCTCAATGCTACACAATTTATTACAGACTCGAATAATATTCATTACATGTTGGGACCATAGGACACTTTGGATTTCAATCACTTTTATTATATTTATTTATTTTTAGGGGTAGGTAAAGAAAAAACATTCTCAACGGTATGATTTGTTACGAGCTCGAACAATATTCATTATGTTTAGTTCAATTCTTGTTAATATACTATAGATAATTTCAAGACGGTTCAATACAAAATATGGTTTAAATTAAAATTTTAAATGATGTCTTATTAATTTTTAAATAAATTTTAAGATTTAAATTATTTTATAATATTATTTATATTATTATATTTTGAGATGCGGAAGTATTTATTAGATTTTTGTATTAAAATTTTTGTTGACATGTTTTTTTTTAATAGACAGTATAGTTAATTCGAATAAAGTCTAATACCTGATATAATGATAAGATATAATTTTATTAAATTTAATGTTGATATAATCACTGTAAAGAGACCAAATTATAAATAATAAAACTTAAGTTAAATATTATAGACTCAAATGGTATTTTATGTTTCCATTAACAACATAAATAAAGTCTCAACAATTTCAAATCAATTGTAAAAAATTCTAAAATTTATTTTTTGGGATACTAAAATAAAATTGGGCATATTTGAATATGTTTCTAAAAAATTTATTTAAATATTAAATTTAATCAAACCTTTATAAAATAAGAAACAAATGCCTTGGGACCTAAAGCGGGGACTTTAATGATTATGGCACCGAGCCTGTCCCAGGTGATTTCTCTTTAGAACAACGTATTATTATATTTGATCCGAACAACTTTTATTATTTTTTTGTCAAGCATGCAAAGAAATTCACACACACAACACATACCACAACAAACAGCTCAAGCACCTTATTTGACCTGAACAGCTTGATGCTCAATGCATTGACAATAATAGATTCCTTTCTTTATGTCTTTTTCTTTTTATCACATGCATTGGCACTTATAGTTTCCTTTCTTTTACGTCTTTTTCTTTGTATCTCATGCATTGGCAATTATAGTTTCCTTTCTTTTACGTCTTGTTCTTTGTATCTATTATGATGATGCATAAAATTGGTCTCGTACAAAATTAACAGTTGAGTATATGAACGGTTGTAAATAATAAACAATAAATAAAGTAATTAATGGTAAAACAGTAAATATGGAGTCAACACAAAGATATATAGTGGTTCGGTTCGAGTGACCTACTCCACTCTCGAGAACAACAGCAGTAGTCGGAAGTCTTTATTGATGAATAAAGTAATAGAGAGAGAGAGTTACGGGAGATATATACTTCAGAAGAGGTACAATAGCTTTAGAAGAGAGAAACTTGGTGTGTAAAGAGATATAGAGAGCTGTGTGAGATGTAGAGGTGTCTTGAGGTCTCAAGATCATGCCCTCTATATAGAGAAGGCTTACATTATACAGGTATGGTGAGACGATGACGTGAGGGAGATGACACTATTCTTTTGATAAGTACAGTCAAGGTAGGATTGAATTTTCATGAGTGCGTATCCCGATAGTTTCTCCCACGTGCTTCTTGGATCCTGAACTAGATCGAACTGGCATAGTGAGCCTAGGCAGCCCTTAGTTGACTTAGGCCTTCTTGATTTATTAGGTCTGACTTAGTTGATTTTGGGCTCATCATTTGCCCCACATGCTCCAAACCCCAATTACTTGCAAAATAAGGGGGTTGAAGGCATAAGTGAGCTCTTAGTTTCTTATTCTCCACAGTGTTAGCTTGCTGAGCTTCTTGCTCCTGTACTTAGGAAATTTTTCTCTTATTCTGATAGCTCCATGGTTGGGCACCCATTGTATTAACCATTTCTTATGTGCCTTGTATTCACTAAACTTGGATCCTCATCTTCCCCAACTCACCTCTTTTGAAACCAGAGCTTAGAAACACTTCTTACATCCTTACCCCATAATCCACTAAGAGAGAGATGATGGAGAGCTGAGCGGCTCCCATAAGGTAAGTAGCACCCAAAGCACTGGCGCTGACTCTAGGCAATGCCAGATTAGTTTCCAAGGGTGATGTCAGATCAGCTGTGAAGGATTTGGTGGAGAGAGCTTCAATAGACGATGTTCCAGGAGAAGATTCCCTAATGGAGAGGAGAGGGGACAGCGCTAATGTGGGAAGCATCGCCAAAGTGGGAGAGAAAGGAACAACGCCCATAGGAGAGATAGAGGGAGGCGCCCATGTGGGAGAGAGGGGGCAACGCCCATCTGGGAGTTATTGGGTGATGCCTTTGGTCGAGAGGGATTGGTCGACGCTTAGGGCGTTGGGCACCAAGTGTTATGCGCTAACTTGGGCGGTGCCAGGAGGAGACTAGGCACAAGCTTTGGGCGCTACACACTGTGCTGTGTTGGAGTATCATAAAATTATGAAAAAAATGGCAAAACTTTGAATGACCATAACTTTGCGCTCGGTTGTCTATTTAAGGCAATTTTTTTTTTAAAGTCAGGTCTTTTTTTCGAGATCTATGACATACAAATTGCCAAACGAATTTTGGCCAACAAATTTTTTCAAAAAATGCTTCTATCTCCCTGAATTTGAGTTTTAAGCTCAAATTAATGAAATCGACGGTGATGGAAGTTATGTTCTGGCAGGCAGTTGTTAGGAATTCATGGGCGACTAGTTGGCATTCGAGGTTTTTGCTAGAGAGGGAGACTATGATGGCTTTCGACTGGATAAGAGGCGAACCCGATTTCTCCAATCCTACTTTCTCCTTAATGTTTTTTCGATGTTGGTTCTTTATACTGACCTTGTCTCTAATTAGAGGCGCCTGTTAATAAGGCGATGGTGAGGACTCTCTGTGCTTTGAAGGTGGTGTCTTCCCCTCCTCCCAAGAGGGTAAGGTTTGATGCTCCTAGTGCTTCTTAGTCAACGTCCGATGGCTAGGTTGCTTCCCGAGAGATGGGACCCGAGGGTGCCCCCACTCTTTCCCAGACTATGACTCTTATGTGTACCAGAGCAAGCCTTTGTACTGTTGTAGGATTTGAGACTCTAGTGCGGTCTTTTTATGGGGAGTGTAGCTCCATATAGTTGTTCCGCTTCTAGTAGTAGCTCGGTGTCCATGCTTTAACTTGACTTCGGCCAAGGAGCATTTTTGGGGGTCCATGACTCTCAGGGACATCAGAAAGGTTGGATCTCGAGGTCTAGAGGGCATTATCAACTTTAATTTTGTACCCGCCTCCTTTCCTTCATATTATGCTTTTTGAATGCTTGTTGGTGGCTACCATTTTTCCTTGCCTCTTCTCAAGAATGGTCAAACTTAGAGAGGCATCCATGGATCTGGCGAAAGAGAAGTAGGCTTCGAGAGATTGCTGAGGAGAAGTTGAGGCTTGTTCATGAGAGAATCGCACCTCTTGAGATTGAGCTTTTTGGCATTCCGTGAGAAGGTCGGGAAACTGGTGACTGACAAAAAGATTGTCTACGTGATAGCAGAGTCAAGGCTACGAACGTCCAGTGTGAGGGCCGCACACAAAGTTGGAGGGCAAACTGCATATAGCTTAGGAGGGGCTTGTCGTGACAAAGAGTTACAAGGTGACAATTTGCGCGAGAGTAGAGTCGGAGTTGCAGATGTCCCGTGAGAGGGTCGTAGGAACTGAGACCAAGCTACGTATAGCTCAGGAGATGACAGTCGTGGCAGAGACTTACAAGGTAACTACTTGCACAAGAGTAGAGTCAGAGCTGTGGATGTCCCATGAGAGGGCCGCAAGAGCTAAGGCCAAGCTATGTCTAGCTCGAGAGATGACTATTGTGGCAAAGGATTACAAGGTGACTACTTGCACGAGAATAGAGTCAGAGTTGTGGACGTCTTGTGAGAGGGCCGTAGAAGCTAAGGCCGAGCTACATATAGCTCGGGAAATGGCTATCGTGGCAGAGGCTTACTAGGTGACTACCTGCACGAGAGTAGAGTTAGAGCTGCGGACATCCTGTGAGAAGCCTGCAGGAGCTGAGGTCGAGCTACATATTACTCGGGAAATGGCTGTCGTGGCAAAGGCACATTCCATTGAGATGGAGATGGGGAGGGCGCTGAGGAGCTGGGCGTCTGGTGTTGGGAACCTGCTGTTAGGAGCCTGTTGTTAGGAGCCTGGTGTGGAGCGCTTGCTAAGAGGGCCACTGTTGATTTCTCTGGCTTCGTCTCCTATGAGTCAACAACAATAGTTGATGACGAAGAGAGCCTTGATGATAGTGGTTGTGACTCAGGGAGTAGTGACTAATCATCGGGAGTATGACGATTGTTGTCTATTTGTCTATATTGTTTTAGGTCATGTTCTAACTTTTTTAAGGGATAATTGATTATATCTGTGACAAAAGGTGTATCAGTACGTCTTACCAGGTAATCCACCGTCTCAGGCACTTGTGCCTTGATGGCATCACCAAGTTGGTTTTGCACCTCTCTGATCTTCTCATCCTATTGGTTGGGGACATCCTCCATTGGGTGGTGGTACTGGTTTCCATGGTCGTCATATTGGCTCTCTCCTTCGTCCCCCTGCACAGGTNCACCGCCACCGCAGCCGTCACCAAAACCCCCCCCTCCCCACCACCACCACCACCACCACTAATTTTTTGAATAAGACTTTCATTCCTTTTCACAATTCTAAGATTTTTATCTTTCTTAACTCTCTCCATCTCATACTATTTGATGCTCTCTCTTAGTCAGCTCTCTCTCCCTCTCACATACTGCGACCCCCAATATAAAAATTAATCACTAACACATTAATTAGATAATCAATTATAATTCTATATAATTAAGGATTATTTTTAAAATGTTCAAATAAACCTTAAATACATATTCTTTGCATGAAATAAAGTCGAATAACTATAATATAAATCATATTTCGTATTGAAATAAAAATATTATAATATTCAANTTGAAATCGACCCTATTATACTGTACAAACTAACAGATGCATCGAAGAAGTACCACTCCTTAAAAAGTTAAAAGGCAGTTTCAAACATAAATATCAAACATATTATCATTTTAGAAACTTCCAAGTTCAGTGGCTCGGTATTGTATCATTTGTTCATGAGATCTGTTGCTGAGAACAGCATTTTCCAATCAAATTGGATACTTATTCGTGTGTACATACTTGATGTGTGGCCCAAAATCTGAATATAATAAAAGTTGAGGTCTGGCAACGACCCGGAAGGATAGAACCGATACAAGAAACACTTGCAAACCATTAGTTATAAAAATGTTAATGCAGAAGCAAATACAAAATTACTTACATGTCCTTGTACAAACTGAAAACACCATAGGCATGGATAAGGTCATATGTCCTTGGGTATGTGGAGAAGGCTTCACACCTGAACCAGAAAGCAAGAACAAGTGAAAGTTGCTTAACAGTTTCAAGCAGTCAAGAAGGAATCAAATGAAATGAATAAGCATCACCATATGGAAATGAAATAATCAGTTGGTAAAATATCTGTGCATGCTGAATCTTTTCATCAAAGGTAACAGACAAATGTAGTCCTTGCCAGCTGATTCACATCACTTGTAAGCATGTATATTAACCATCATTCCTTTGTTACAGTTAATTCTCGAATTACTTTTTGGAGATAACATTCTTTTGATTTTTTACTTGGATTCTGATATATTAACCACTTGCTCACTGCAAATAAAATAGTTGAGCATAATGTTCAACTTCATTTAATCAACAAATCCAGTAATTCACCACTTGAGAATTTCTCACACTCAAATCTATAACACACACTTGTTAAAACTTCTAACACAAGATCTTCATAAACAATAATTGTCACCGTCTAGCATTTCAATTATCTTATCTCATGATATCTTATAATACCTTTTTATAAACTATGATGGCAAAAGTAAACTATTGATCCAAATGGATCTGACATTCTAAATTGAGGTCATATGTAAGATGAAAACAATTTACGTTGGGTCCATTATATTTGGTAGCAATATACGAAAAAAAAAGATGAAGGCCCTACACAAGGTTGTTAATAACAATAATTGTCATGATCCAGCATTTCAATCATCTTATTTGGTGATACCCCATAACAACTTTATATAAAATACGATGGAAAAAGCAAACTAATGATCCAAATGGACCCAAATTCTAAACCAAGATCAAGTAATACGATGGAAATAATTAGTTACAAGGTTCCTCACATTTACTAGCAATGTACCAAAAACACCAGCTTTAACAGAGGTCAAGGTTATCAAACCATAATTTTCCCAAAATAACAGCATAACATTCGATGACGATACAATATATAGGAAGACATAGAATTAAGGACATTTTCAAGAAAACTATAGGATATATTCTGAAGTGATGATTAAGCGCCACAATTTCAAAACATATGGGACAAAAACTCCAAAAATCATACCAGTCATGATAGATGCCAATCAGTCCTCGCTCGTATACAACACCCAGAGTATTTTTGTCAGCAATAGTGGGCATAACATTCATGACCCACAATTTAGGAGACTGGATGGCTGCAGCAAAACCCCCTAACCCAGCATTCATATCCATAATGTTGCGATACCTTCCTGAGTCGATAATTTTATTGATTTTCTTATACGCACTGACATGTTTTTTCCATTTTCTGTTGTCCTCCAGGTATGTTTCAGTAGAGACTCCTGAAACAGATCCACTAGCAATTCTGGGAGGAACAGCATAAAGCCTCTCCGGAAAGGCCTTCAGATCGCCACCAGAAACTTCATCATTGTTCCCCGTGGAATATGGAGTTATGCACAACTCCATTTTCTTGTACCTAGTAACCACCCAACCCACAAAAGGCAAAACACATTAAGTATGCAACTTCTTTCTCTGGACTGACTAGGTATCTCTTGTAAACAAAGATGAAGACAAAAGGTATGACTGACTAGGTATCTGTTGTAAACAAAGATGAAGACAAAAGGTAAGAAAAACAGAAATGCAAACAGATAAAACAGATCAAGTTTTAATGATTTGGAAGGTACAGAATAGGCCCAGACAACACGTAACTTGTTACAAATCAGTTAGATTGAACAACCTATGTGCATCCCCAAGACAAGTCTACCAGTTAGACTTGGGACCACGGCTCACAGATCATAAGTCATTCACAGATCAAATATATTTGCTCAAAACATTAACAAAGTGCAGGTATTGTTCAGCAAATAACCTCAAAAACTTAAATAGATCCACAAATATGGGTGTTATATTCTGAAGGGCAATCCAAATCATTGAACTTACTCAACATCCTCATAAAATACGGTGTAAATTCTCCTAGAAAAAATTAAAGGATGGGACGAAATATCAGAAAAGGTAGGTCCTACCAAGGAATTTGCCCATGGTGATAAAGTGCAATTTTTTTCTATATTTATTTGTGACCTAAATTGCTTTCCAACGTGGTAATGTGTTGGAATGGAGCACATTTGCAAAATTGCAGCTTTTCTTACTACCATCCTAACTTATCACATGTCAGTTTCCAAATTGGGTAGAATTTAAGGAAAGCACCAAAAGAATATGTTAAATCGAGCTTATAGCAATTCCTTTCTAACCATAAAAGATGAGCAATAATTGCCACTTTCTAAAACAACTACATATTGAAAAAAAATAAAAGAAACTGTACTAAACTGTTAATAAACATAGTATGAAGAAAGATAGGAAGTTCTTCAATATGAAATTGTCAGCACCTCAAGGAAAGAAATAAGCAAGATTTGTGGCTGCTACCTTCCTCCACTTAAATGCATTTATACAAAACGTCTATTCTTTACTTTCAAGGCCCTCTAGAAAGAAAACCAGAGTAACGATTGTGAATGAAATGGAATATTCAACAAGTAAAGCATACACCATATGCAAAAAGCATCAGGTGACCACCTGAGCTACCACACTAATTTGCCAGAGTATTTCAAAAGACTCATTTGGATGTCAACATTATTTTCTTGAGATTCCTCATTTAATTATCAAACAAATAAAATTAGCCATCATCAAACATTAGCAACCTCAAATATTATTGTGGGTGTTCTGCCATAGATTCATTTGGTATGTATACATATCAGAATTGCCACACACAACATGATAAGTTCACATAGAATATCAAGTTAAGCACTGTACCAGACATCATCTGCATCTGCAACTTTGCAGAATGTTGCTTGAGAATCATCTCGTACGCCACGACATGAATCAGCATGTTTACTCTTCTGCCATATGGCAATTTCACCCTTCTCAGAAATCTTCTTCCAGCAAAGAAGTTTAGCAATTTCTTCAATCTTCCTTTGTTCTTCTTGAAGTTCCTCCTTGGGACGCTGCCATGCTTTGTAGTTGTTCTTCCAATGGATTGGAGGACCAGAAAGCACCCAGTAACCACCAGGACGGAGAACTCGATCAACTTCCTTCATGTATATTCCATCTGGTAGGATAAACAATCCACAAAAACAATCACCCAAACAGCCACACAACCCAAAGAAATTCGAAAAAGTGGACCATGTTTACAACACATTAGTTTATATTACTCACCATTTGCTCCCCATGGAATCAAGCAACGGGAACAGTGAGCCATGTCAAACGCTTTGGACGGATATGGCATTTTTATTGTTCCAAGAACACCAATAACAGCTGGCACACCCCTCTCAAGAGCAAATTGAACCTGTGCTTCGTGTGAGTCCCTTGGTGCAAATGACATAGCTATAACATTTCTCTTCCAAAGGTAGGCACCCCAACTAGCAACCTAAGCACAATAATGCACTGTTAGTGAATCAAAACTGTAGATAGCACAAAGATAAGAAAACAACAAATTATTCGTAGCACATGGATAGGAAAACATCAGTACCATCTCTCAAATGAAAAAACAAATGAGGCAGAGAAGACTCAAAAAGTTAAGATATTTGAGCAACGCAACATACCCCACAACCAGTGTCAAGAGCAGTTCTTACGGTCCCATTTTTAATTGGTATCACGGAAGCAAGCTGATCGATATATGCATCGGCCCCTTGAGGAAACTGTGTTCCTCCACCAGGGAACCTAAATACATTGCCCTCATATTGAATCCAGTTCTGAATTGCCTTCTCAACTGTCAAACTCTTATATGGTGCATTGGCAAAGGGAACATAATCACGGCTCTTTGGCCATGGAAATGGGGTTACATATCCTTTGGGTGCCGGAATAAGGCAATGCAACTTCTCTTCCTGAGGAACGCAATGCCTTTCTCGGTAGATCATATTTTCCCTTGGGAAAGTCATTGCACGCCTTTGATCTTGACAAGGCGTGTAATCAGTATACCGATGGTGGCATGGCTTAAACACTTTTTTCGATTCAGATTCATCAACAGCTTCACCACTATGATGGGTCTCAAAATTTAGATTGGGAAGGATATTACATTCTGCACCGTTCCTGGTCATCTCCAAAGCTATGCTGTCTCCCTTCCCAAACCCACTTCTCTGCCATGCTCCCAATAGATAGAAGAAACAGCACAGACCGGCGACTATAAAAATGGATACAGAACTTCTAGTCCTACTGTCCCCAGAGTTTATTTTATTTGCCATCATGCATCTGCAATGTTTCCACAAGAAAGAGTTAGAGTACAGAACAGGAAAGCTAATGTGAGGTGTACATTTGATTATTGGTTTTGTGTGTGTATGTGCACACGCATTAGCATTAATGTGCAAAATGAACTAGAACCCAGATCGTACCCACGTGACAAACTAGGAAACCACGTAATAAACTCTAATCACTCCTACCAATAAGGTCCACTAATGCCATACATTATGGCTGATTTACACAAAAGTATGACTGAAAATTAATGGAACTAAGATCGATTTGTAGGCAAATAAAACTCATTTGATCATCTATTGTATACAAAGTGCCAAAACAGTGAAAATCTAAACAAAACCCAAATTGAAGAAGCACAAAACCAGCACAAATTATTCTCCACTCAACAATATACCCAAATCAACAGATTCTTCAGTTGATTTTACCAAGATCCTTTTACATACATACATCTCCCATGCATCAATTTATGAAGTTCGATATCTTTACATTAAAAGCAAGTTATATGCATAAAATCTATATATGGTCTCCTCAACAACCAAACCATCGGTACTACAAACTAAACAAGAGACTCAAAACCCAGTTCACCAGAAAAGAATTTGACTTCAAACAGAAATTAGCCGATAACACTAAAAAGAAATACCCTTTGAACGCATATGAATACAGAAAAACGCCAGCCTTTTGGAATTAAAAACAAATAAACACTTAAGATGACAGTCCAAATGTGAGGATCACAAATCAGAAGCCCAGGTTAAAATCTCTTACCAATGGCAGCGAGGGAAGGGAGCCTAGTTGACGATCTTGAAAACTCTGGTTCAGCTTCTTCACAGTCAATGGCTGAAAATGCTGAAAAATAGCCAGTTATATAGGATGGAGTTCCCAATAGATCACTCAAAATCCTAGCTTTATCTCTAATTTCTTTTTGATTTATACAACTATTTAATTTATGTATGTGTATCCAATACTAATATTGTAGCAAAGTGCTTATATAGATCTAAACTAACAGATCTCTATCTCTCACACACACACAGCACACGAGTATGGCTGCAAAATCTTTATAGAGGCCTAAACTAGCATACCTCTCTCTCTCTCTATCTCGCATAAACACACGCACCGACCCGCACGCTTTCTCGTACTGTTAATGTCGGTTTCTTGGCTTAGTAGTAATCATCGGGGCAAATTATACTTTGACCCCTGAAACTATAGACTAAATTTTATTTTGTCCAATGAACTGCTGAATTATTTTTATATTGTTTTAATTGTAAATGTCTGTTATTTTTTTAAGATGAAATTTTTCAACGTGTTGAGACAAAATAAAATAAAATTATGTAGTTCGGAGATAAAATAAAGAAAAAATTCTGTTAAATATATAGCAGACGTTAATAATTTGAGTGATGTGAAACTAAACATATAGTTGAATATATAATAGAAAAAATATGATAGTTGAGTAGATAATATAAAGTTTAGGGGATTAAAGTGTAACGTTTTTACTATAATGGGAGGGGTGCGTTGTGCATGCAGTCCAATGGGCGCGTTTTCCGCGACCCAGCCAAACGCCAGACAGACGGCCCAGATCCAGTGGGGCCCACGCGCAAATAAACGGTGGAAAGCATTTAGATTTGGGGTGCTCATGTTGTTTTATTTTAAAGCAGGGCAATCTGATGGAACGCAAATAAATGCAAATAATTTTGATGGTCCTTGAATAAATTTATTTGATATCGTTAAATAAATTTATTAAAAATTATTTTATTTTATATTATAAAATTATATTAAGTATTTATCAATCTTAAACACATTTTATTTAAATTTTTTTTGGTTAGAAAACACATTTTATTTAATTAATTATATCAAATTTAGTTAAACTTCTGTAAAATAGTAACAAATGCGATTTTTTTTTATAAAATTATATTTTGTTGCTCAAAAACCGTTGCTAATAATATATTATTATTAGTAACTTGAGGCTCTAAGTTTAAATCTCTAGTTTTGACACATAGGTGTATTTAGTCTTTAGGAAATTACATGCATTTAAAATTTGTATCGTACCCTCCATCTAAAAAAAATATTATAGAATACTTTTTCATTATTGAGAAAAAAAAAATACAAAGGAACACAATATCCATTCATTCATTTGAAATAGTACTATCCTCTTCAATAGTGGATCCTTCGCTCATTAATAATGGATATATACTCAAAAAATATGAGTAATATTATACTGATCAAAATTTGGAATAAAATTAAAAGTCCAAATGACATGGCAACTGATTTAGGTTTCTTTATTTGATGTCATGTCATTTGAAGCAGCTGATTTGGATTTCTTTATTTGGTGTCATGTCATTTGATCTCTAAATTTGATCAGCATAACATTACTAAAATATATATATATATATATCAAAGAGAATCTAAATCCTCTGCAAATCAAAGGGTCGTACACTTAGGACATGGGTTTGAGGAGAATTAATTAATGGAGGTGGTGTTTGGTACTCAAGGGGTGGGGGTCCATTGTTAATTAATGTCAAAGCCAAGGATTAGGTTGTTGTACTAAAATTTCAAAAAACATTATCGGCTTGTCGGTGATTTTCCAATTTTTGTGTTGAAGAGAAGGGCTTAGGGGACCATTGGATACTTTCGATTTCAATCACTTTTTGTTATAGTTTTTCTTAGGGTAGGTAAAGAGGACCATTCTCAATGCTACACAATTTATTACAGACTCGAATAATATTCATTACATGTTGGGACCATAGGACACTTTGGATTTCAATCACTTTTATTATATTTATTTATTTTTAGGGGTAGGTAAAGAAAAAACATTCTCAACGGTATGATTTGTTACGAGCTCGAACAATATTCATTATGTTTAGTTCAATTCTTGTTAATATACTATAGATAATTTCAAGACGGTTCAATACAAAATATGGTTTAAATTAAAATTTTAAATGATGTCTTATTAATTTTTAAATAAATTTTAAGATTTAAATTATTTTATAATATTATTTATATTATTATATTTTGAGATGCGGAAGTATTTATTAGATTTTTGTATTAAAATTTTTGTTGACATGTTTTTTTTTAATAGACAGTATAGTTAATTCGAATAAAGTCTAATACCTGATATAATGATAAGATATAATTTTATTAAATTTAATGTTGATATAATCACTGTAAAGAGACCAAATTATAAATAATAAAACTTAAGTTAAATATTATAGACTCAAATGGTATTTTATGTTTCCATTAACAACATAAATAAAGTCTCAACAATTTCAAATCAATTGTAAAAAATTCTAAAATTTATTTTTTGGGATACTAAAATAAAATTGGGCATATTTGAATATGTTTCTAAAAAATTTATTTAAATATTAAATTTAATCAAACCTTTATAAAATAAGAAACAAATGCCTTGGGACCTAAAGCGGGGACTTTAATGATTATGGCACCGAGCCTGTCCCAGGTGATTTCTCTTTAGAACAACGTATTATTATATTTGATCCGAACAACTTTTATTATTTTTTTGTCAAGCATGCAAAGAAATTCACACACACAACACATACCACAACAAACAGCTCAAGCACCTTATTTGACCTGAACAGCTTGATGCTCAATGCATTGACAATAATAGATTCCTTTCTTTATGTCTTTTTCTTTTTATCACATGCATTGGCACTTATAGTTTCCTTTCTTTTACGTCTTTTTCTTTGTATCTCATGCATTGGCAATTATAGTTTCCTTTCTTTTACGTCTTGTTCTTTGTATCTATTATGATGATGCATAAAATTGGTCTCGTACAAAATTAACAGTTGAGTATATGAACGGTTGTAAATAATAAACAATAAATAAAGTAATTAATGGTAAAACAGTAAATATGGAGTCAACACAAAGATATATAGTGGTTCGGTTCGAGTGACCTACTCCACTCTCGAGAACAACAGCAGTAGTCGGAAGTCTTTATTGATGAATAAAGTAATAGAGAGAGAGAGTTACGGGAGATATATACTTCAGAAGAGGTACAATAGCTTTAGAAGAGAGAAACTTGGTGTGTAAAGAGATATAGAGAGCTGTGTGAGATGTAGAGGTGTCTTGAGGTCTCAAGATCATGCCCTCTATATAGAGAAGGCTTACATTATACAGGTATGGTGAGACGATGACGTGAGGGAGATGACACTATTCTTTTGATAAGTACAGTCAAGGTAGGATTGAATTTTCATGAGTGCGTATCCCGATAGTTTCTCCCACGTGCTTCTTGGATCCTGAACTAGATCGAACTGGCATAGTGAGCCTAGGCAGCCCTTAGTTGACTTAGGCCTTCTTGATTTATTAGGTCTGACTTAGTTGATTTTGGGCTCATCATTTGCCCCACATGCTCCAAACCCCAATTACTTGCAAAATAAGGGGGTTGAAGGCATAAGTGAGCTCTTAGTTTCTTATTCTCCACAGTGTTAGCTTGCTGAGCTTCTTGCTCCTGTACTTAGGAAATTTTTCTCTTATTCTGATAGCTCCATGGTTGGGCACCCATTGTATTAACCATTTCTTATGTGCCTTGTATTCACTAAACTTGGATCCTCATCTTCCCCAACTCACCTCTTTTGAAACCAGAGCTTAGAAACACTTCTTACATCCTTACCCCATAATCCACTAAGAGAGAGATGATGGAGAGCTGAGCGGCTCCCATAAGGTAAGTAGCACCCAAAGCACTGGCGCTGACTCTAGGCAATGCCAGATTAGTTTCCAAGGGTGATGTCAGATCAGCTGTGAAGGATTTGGTGGAGAGAGCTTCAATAGACGATGTTCCAGGAGAAGATTCCCTAATGGAGAGGAGAGGGGACAGCGCTAATGTGGGAAGCATCGCCAAAGTGGGAGAGAAAGGAACAACGCCCATAGGAGAGATAGAGGGAGGCGCCCATGTGGGAGAGAGGGGGCAACGCCCATCTGGGAGTTATTGGGTGATGCCTTTGGTCGAGAGGGATTGGTCGACGCTTAGGGCGTTGGGCACCAAGTGTTA